GAATTCTCCAGGCCAGAATACTGGAGTAGGTAGCCTATTCCTTCTCCAATGTTAATTATATCACTCTCTAAAAACCTATCAATACATCTCCAGTCAATAATGTTCAGGTAACAAAAGATATATTACTGTATTTCCAGTTAATACACAGAAATCTGTTGTATTCCTGTACATTAACAACAAAAGATAGAAATGAGAATTAAACACTTGGGAATAAACCTACCTAAGGAGGCAAAACACCTGTACTCTGAAAACTATAAGACCCTCATGAAAAAAGTCAAAGATGACACAGATGGAAAGATATACCATGTTCTTAAATTGGAAGAATCAATACTATCAAAATGACTATTCCACCCAAGGCAATCTACAGATTCAATGCAATCCCCATCAAATTACCAATTTCGTTTTTCAAAGAACTAGAACAAAAAAATTTTTCATTTGTATGCTAACACAAGACCCCCAAATAGCCAAAGCATTCCTGAGAAAGGAAAATGGAGCTGAAGCAATCAGACTCCTTGACTTCAAATTATACTACAAAGCTATAGGAATCAAAACAATATGGTATTGGCACAAAAAAACAGAACTATAGACCAATGGAACATAATAGAAGGCCTAGAAATAAATTTATGCATCTATGGTCAGTTAATCTATGACAGAAGAGGCAAGAATCTAAAATAAAGAAGAGACAATCTTTTCAATAAGTGCTGCTGGAAAAACTGGACAGCTACATGTTAAAGAATGAAATTAGAATATTCTCTAACACCATACACAAAATAAACTCAAATGGATTAAAGGGCTATACATAATAAGGCTGATGCTATAAAACTATTAAAAGAAAACATAGGCAGAACACTCTCTGACATAAATCGCAGCAATATCTTTTTGTATCCACCTTCTCGAGTAATAAAAACAAACAAATGAGACTTAAAAGCTTTTACACAGCAAAGGAAACCGTAAACAAAATGAAAAGATAACCCACAGAATGGGAGAAAATGTCTGCAAATGAAGCAATGGACAAGGGATTAACCTCCAAAATGTACAAAGAACTCATGGAGCTCTATATCAAAAGAGCAGACAACCCAATCTAAAAATGGGTGTGCTCAGTTGCTCAGTCATGTCTGACTCTTTGCAACCCTATGGACTGTAGCCTGTCAGGCTAATCTGTACGTGGGATTCTCCAGGCAAGAATACTGGAGTGGGTTGCCATTTCCTCCTCCAAAAGATGGGCAGAAGATCAAAATAGACATTTCTCCCAAGAAGACATACAGATGGCCAAAAAGCACATTATAAGATGCTCAATATCACTGATTATAGAGAAATGTACATCAAAACTACATTTATGCACCACCTCACACTGATCAGAATGACCCTCATCAGAAAATCTGCAAACAGTAAATGCTGGAGAAGGTGCGGAGAAAAGGGCACCCTCCTACATTGCTGGTGGGTTATGTAAACTGGTGTGACCGCTATGAAGAGCAGTATGGAAGTTCCTTAAAAACTAAACATAACAGTACCATATGATCCAGCAATCCCATTGCTATCCAAAGAAAATCAGTTTGAAAAGACACATGAACCCCAATGTTCACTGCAGCACTATCTGCAATAGCAAAGACATGGAAGCAACCTAGATATCCATCAACAGGGGAATGAATAAAGAAAATGTGGTGTATATATACAGTGGAACACTGCTGCTGCTGCTGAGTCGCTTCAGTCGTGTCCGACTCTGTGCGACCCTGCAGATGGCAGCCCACCAGGCTCCCCGTCCCTGGGATTCTCCAGGCAAGAACACTGGAGTGGGTTGCCACTGCCTCCTCCACAGTGGACTGCTACTCAGCCATAAAAAAGAATGAAATAATGCCATATGCAGCAACATAGATGGACCTAGACATTATCATACTAATTGAAGTCAGGAGAAAGAAAAATATCATATTTCACTTATATGCTGAATCTTAAAAAAAAAAAGATACAAATGAACTTATTTACAAAACAGAAACAAACTCACAGACTTCAAAAACAAATCTACTTTTACAAATAAATGAAAAAAAAATTGGTGACAAGTCCTGGAGAAAATCAAGCATTTATACTCACTCTAAATATGAATACTTCAAGAAAGGAAAACCAAAGATTGGAAATTCACTAAGCCTGGTCACTGTCTGCACTGGTTCTGCAGCAACAGAGTGTATCTACCATCCAAGGGTCCTGGACCAGGAGAGGTAGGGGTGAGGAGGAGCAGAACTAAGGAATTCTAGAATCAGTGTCAAAACTGAGTTGTTTCTAGGATAGTGGACAAAAAAAATAAAGCTCCTGGCTACTGAAATATGGGTACTTTTCTCAATCCAAATAAAAGAATATCTGGTTAATCTAAAATACAGCCAAAACAGACCAATGGAACTGCATGGAGTTTGAATTAAATCCCACAAATATACAGTTACTTAATTTGTGATCGGGCTTCCCGGGTGATTCAGATGATAAAGAATCTGCCTGCAATGCAGGAGACCTAGGTTCAGTCCCTGAGTTGGGAAGATCCCCTGGAGAAGAGAACGGCAACCCACTGCAGAATTCCTGCCTGGAGAATTCTAAGGACAAAGGAGCCTGGCAGGCTACAGTCCATGGGGTCGAAAAGAGCTGGACACGACTGAGTGACTTTCAATTTGTGACTAAGATCATAAATACTGCTGAAGCAATTGGACATCCAAGTGAGAAAAAAAAATACAACTCCTACTTTATAACATACACAAAAAATAAATTCCAGATGAACTGTAGGTTTAAATAGGAGGTAGCTGTTGTTTAGTCGCTAAGTCGTGTTCTACTGTTTGCAACCCCATGACGGGACTGCAGTACGCCAGGCTCCCCTGTCCTTCACTATCTCCGGGAGTTTACTCAAACTCATGTCCCTTGAGTCAGTGATGTCATCCAACCAACTCATCCTCTGCCGCCCTCTTCTTCTTTTGCTTTATATTTTTCCCAGTATCAGGGTCCCCTCCAATGAGTCAGCTTTTCGCATCAGGTGGCCAGATGATAGGAGGAGTAAATCAATACAGCATTTAGAGAAAAGCACAAGAGAACATCTTCATAACCTTGGAGTAACCAAAGATTTTTTCAAACAGGACATAAAAAAATCACTAGTCATAAAAGAAAAAATTCTGATAAAGTGAACTATATTAAAATTAAGAATGTATGCTATAAGATATCATTAAGTGAAAAGGAATCCACTGAATGAAAAAAAGACTTCCTATATACCCACACATATATATATACATATATATGACTAAAGGATCATATCCAGAAACACAAAGAACTCTTGCAAATCGCTATTAAAAACATAAACACGTTTAAAAATGGGGAAAAGACCTGATGACTCTTCACAAAAGATTTCCAAATGGCCAAAAAAAATATGAAAAGATGCTCAAATTCTTATCATCAGGGAAATGAAAATAAAATCTTTTGTGCAATAAATACCATGACACTTATCAGAATGGTTAAATTTTTTTTTAATGCTAAGTATTTGTACAGATGAGAAGCAAATCACACCTCTCCTACAGTGGCAGTGGAAGTGTAAATTGGTACAACCCACTTTGGCAAACTACTTAAAAGTATCTACTAAAGATGAACAAACCCACAACCTATAATCTAAAAGTTCCATTCTAAAGTACAGACCTAACAAATGCATACACACATTCACCAAAAGCCATATACAAGAATGCTGGTAAACAGAACCTGAAAACAATAGAAGCGCCCACCAACAGTAAAATAAAAATGAACTATGCTAGACTCACACAACTACAGCATTATGGATGAATTACAACCACATACAACACAGAGGAATTTACACAAATGCTGATGAGTGAAAGAAATCAGACACAGAACAGTGCATACCATAAGGTTCCATGTATGTTAAGTTCAAAACGAAGCTCATCTGTTAAAGCCAGGACAGTGGTTCCTCTTGGTGGAACAGAGGAACCAGACAAGGAAACCGGATGGGCCTCTGGGATGCTAGCCATATTGTTTCTCAGTCTGTGTTTCAGGACTACAACAGTGTGCTTAAAGTGCTTCAGGCTGGGCATGGGTGCTTATGTACTTCTGTTTATTTCAGCTTCAAGTCACAAACTAAATATGCTGTATCAGAGTCCACCGGTTCAGACGTTTTATTTCTTTATTTCAAGGTATGACTTGGCAGAGTGTTCTCAATTTTCTAGATCAGTAACTACACAAACTAGGCAATTCTCAACCAGCATTTTCCACCTAAAACCAAGAGACTGACTGAGTTTGAGAGAAAGTAGTTAGAAGAAAGAAGAGGTAAACACAAATACCCCCAAATTTACATATTTTACATTGTTATAAAAACACATATACACACAACCATAAAATGCTCCAGTGCAAACAGGAAAAGGTGAAAACATCAAAGTAGGTTGCTAAGGCCAAGCCTGTTTCCCGACCCCTGGTAGCAGCACAGAAGGACAGGGGACCAACAACGGATGACTCCCTTCAGATGCTGCTTCCAGGGCACAAAGGACTTCTGCTCGGGGCCCTCAATCCCATCGACCTTGGGTCTTCACACCCAAACGTCAGGTTTCGGAAAGGTGTGTGCTAACCAGGAAGAGGGAACCCGGCCGGGCTAGGAGACCAAGCTCGGCCCTTGCCCGGCGCCTGCGAGGGCCACCCAGGCCCTGCCGGATACCCGACCGCACACTTGCCTACCGTGCCGGGCCACGGGGCTGCGGGCCACGGCTGCGGGATGGTCTGCGGGGCCGTGGTCCACCGCCGGGAGGGTGACCGGCCCAAGACGAGCCCGGGGCGAGCAGGACGCAGGTGGCACCGAAGCACTCCCGGGGGCGGACAGGTGACTAGACGGAACCGCGCCAGGATAGCGACAGGCAGGCGCGGGGGGGACGCAGCCCGGGGAAGAGGCGCGCCGCGGGGACCCTGAGGGAGGGGGGGAGGGCAAGGGAGGAAAGGTGGGCGGAGGCGGGGAGAGGCCGACGAGGCGTGCGGAGGGCGCTCACCGTGGACTCCCGCACTTGGCTGTGGAAATGCTGCTCCCGCGCCGACACCTCGTCCTGCCCTTCCATCCTCCTTCATGCCCGCCGCCTCGCCGCCCGCGCGCTCCGCCGCACCATCGCCTACCGGCTCGAGGGGCTGGACGGCCGCCCCGCCGGCCGGGACGGGAGTGGGCGGGCAGTTGACCGCTACACTGACGGTGACCACAACCCCGGCTGCTGCCACAGCCGCCGTCTCAACCACCGCCTGAGGAAAAGCTGCTCGGTCTGCTGAGGGCTGGCGCCTCGCGGGCCGGGGCGGGGCGGGGGGCGGGGCTTGACGTCAGAGGAAGGCGCCGCGCGTCAGAGGAGAGAGCCGAGGGCCCCTGAGGCGGGGCGTGAGGCCGGGGGCGGGGCCTGGCGGGTGGGACTTGGGGCCACGCCCCTCGCGGGAGCCCGCAAATTCCCGCCTAGAGCCCCGCGAGGAGCTCGCTGTTGGGGTGGGGGCTCGCGTGAGTAGAGGAGAGAGCCGAGGGCCCCTGAGGGGGGGCGTGAGGCCGGGGGCGGGGCCTGGCGGGTGGGACTTGGGGCCACGCCCCTCGCGGGATCCCGCAAATTCCCGCCTAGAGCCCCGCGAGGAGCTCGCTGTTGGGGTGGGGGCTCGCGTGAGCGCGAGCTAAAGGGGGCGGGGACGGCGCGCCGGGGACGACTCTGTGTGGCAGCTGCAGTCCGCTCCCCTCACCAGCACCGGCCCCGCCAGTTCCCTGGGCGGTGTCCGCTGGGAGGTCTCCGGCGCGAACCGTCACTCCGCCCAAGTAAGTAAAAGGGTCGGAAAGCCCGGAAACCTGGCTTCACTGGATCTGACCAGCGGTCGGGCTGCCACTGGCCTTGGACCTCACCACCGGGAAGATGTAAATAGCCCTGCATGTGCGGCCCTTGCCGGATCGGAGGGCGGGGGTGTTCTCGGGTCCCCCGGAGTCCCTCCACCCAGAAGTTAGTTTGAGGACCCTCCAGGGTTCCAAACAGAGGTAAAGTTAAAAAGTTAATCGCTCAGAGTCGTGTCTGACTCTGTGACCCCACGGACTGTAGCCCACCAGGCTCCTCTGTCCATGGGATTCTCCAGGTAACAATACTGGAGTGGGTTGCCATGCCCTTCTCCAGGGGATCTTCCCGACCGAGGGATCGAACCCAGGTCTCCTGCATTGCAGACGGATTCTTTACCATTTGAGCCGCCAGGGAAGCCAATCATCTATAGTCCTGCATGGCAGCTGCAGTCCGCTCCCCTCACCAGCACCAGCCCCGCCAGTTCCCTGGGCGGTGTCAGTCCCCTACGAAAGTTCTCCTCCCGGTACGCAGTCCCTAAGGCCAACAGAGTTACTCTCGGTGCCCCGCTAACTCAGTCGGCTGTATACCGCTGCTTCCGGGGCTGCCCTGGCGGCTCGGACGGTAAGGAATCAGCCTGCAGAGCAGGAGACCCAGGTTCGATCCCCGGGTTGGGAGGATCCCCTGGAGAGGGGAATGTTTACCCACTCCAGTGTTCTGGCCTAGAGAATCCCATGGACAGAGGAGCCTGGTGGGCTACATAGCTACGTAGCTCTCCAGGCTCCTCTGTCCAAGGGGTCCCAAAGAGTCAGACACGACTAAGCCACTAACACACAACAACCACTGCTTTTACACTTGGTTCCGAAGGTCCTGGGCTTAAAACAGTTCTGTACCACTGTGCTCTACACAATTCTGTGTGGTAAAGACACAAGAGCACAGCTACTTGTACCGGATGCACACAAGGAACTGTGTACGCCAGACATATGAACTGACTTACGTGATTGGACATGTGAACAAAGGTTCACATTTTGAAAGTTCACAACTGGAAGGTTCAGATGTAGGGGCCTTACTGTAGTTTACCCCCATTCTGCATTAAATACCTTTTTGTTGTTGTTGTTTTACAATAAAGATGACTTCAAAGGAATATTTTATTTTACTTTTAGATTTTGGGAGTATAAGAAAGCCACTTAAATTGCTATTGCCTGTGAGCTTTTGGCATCTCTAAGAATTCTTAGGAAACGAGACAATCTACAGATTGCTTGCAGATTATTTTTATGATGTACTTATTTTGAAATATCTTTTTGTGATTTTGAATTAAAGTTTTTTTCGTGACTCCAACTCTTTTTTATGGCCCCTGAAAAGCTTCTAAGGCCTTCAAATACTGTGCATAGAATGCCTCATGCCAGAAAATGGCGGTGAGAACTTGGAGAGCATGAAACTTGTCCTGAGCCAGTACTGCTACTACCACAGGCTCATAAGAAACCAGGAACTACTTCCAACTAGTTAAATCCTGTGCACATCTTTATTTTGTATGTCTCAGTGCCCTAAAGAACCAGGGAAAGACAAAGAAGTATCTATTTTTCTGAACACCCAGCTTCTGAGAGCTGAGTTAAATACCTGCCTGAAATAACCTGGATAATTTCTGGAGTAACCTCTCCAAAGCAGAGATTAATGAGATCCAATTTAAGATGTGTGACATTTAGACACATATTCCAGAAAGTCAATACATGTGGCATTTCTGATCTTTCAACACTCCAACCATCTAGACCGTTTAATTTCCTTTTATGCAGCTGTCTGCAGAGGCTCACTTATATTTGATCTGAGTTGTTTCCCTGTCTTTGGTACTTACCACACTAAGACCAGGGAAGTAGACCTCAAAAACAGCCACAAACTCTTCCCTCTACTCTCATCCCTTTGCCTGGTGGCTTTCCCCTCCTCCTAGCAAGAAGCAGAGCCTGTTTTCCACCCCTTAAATCTGGGTGTGAACATGTGACTTGCCTTGGCCAAAGGGACATCAGAAAATAGGGTGCTCTTGAGAAGTGCTTGTGTGTTTGGGCTTGCCCCTCTGACGGCCCCTGGGCACCCTCTGACTGCCGCTGTGTATTATCGTCCTGCCTAGCTGGAGGGGGTGGCCCAGGTATCTCTGTCACCCCAGCTGACACTCGCTTTTCTGCATCCCCCTAAAATAGGAAGCCCCCAAACACAGTTTTTTGCCTCTGCTGGAAGCACTGCAAGTGTTCTCATTAACTGTAGAACAAAAATCAAACTCCTTCACCAGCACTCAAGACCTTGACTTTGAGGGCCCATCCTGTCCTTCCAAGTTCTCCCCACTTCTCTGCCTAAAGAGCCCTTTCCTACAGCTTGGCTTCCTCCTCTCACCAACCCCCTGGGTCTTCCCATTGCCAGCACCTAGAACATTCACCACTTCCATGCCCTCTTTCCTCCTCTTCAGATTCAGAGCTACCACTCCTTACTCTCCACACTAATACCTTCCTTACCCACAAAGTCTTTCCTGGGCAATTCCAGTCTCTTTACTCACTCATTCATTCAAACACGTGAACACACAATGGAAAGAATATGGCTGCAGTCCCTGCTCTGGGGGAGCTTAGAGTTCAAGAGAACCGAGGGCACACAGCAGTCATCTGACACTTCGAACACACGTCCTTGTATTTCATCTCAGCATTTCACATATCTGTGTCCACTCACAGTCAGAGTACAAGCTCTGTGAGGTCTGCAATATCTCTTGCTGCACTCTATAAACTTCTGTGTACTTCCTACAAAACTCTTAGAAAAGAAGAAGTGAAAGTGAAAGTCATCTCCAACTCCTTGCAATCCCATGGGCTATACAGTCCATGGAATTCTCTAGGCCAGAATAATACTGGAGTGGGTAGCCATTCCTTCTCCAGGGGGTCTTCCTAACCCAGGGATTGAACCCAGGTCTCCCACATTGCAGGAGGATTCTTTACCAACTGAGCCACCAGGGGAGCCCAATATCTATTAGAATGCTTTGCCAAACATAGACGCTTCACAAGTGGATATTAGCTGATAGGTTGGTTACCCTGAGAAATTTCCCAAAGGCTTCTTCAAACTTCAGTAAATCTTCAGATATCTATACTGATGTAGATAATTGTATGGTCGTTGCCAGTGTGTTCACCATGATGACTTATGTGTCCACAGATGAGAATACTGCTCCTTGCTGTGTGCTCTGCTTTCACTATCACGTCGCATCTTTGAACCTGCCAAGATTTGGGATGGTTTCCTTCATTCCACTAGACCTTGCTTTGATTCTAACTTGATCACAATGAGATCAAATTTCTAAGACATAAGGACATAGAGACCAATTTTTTTTTGTCTTTATGCCCCATACAAAACCCAGCCAAGCAACGTTCACGTGTAACCCGAGTTCCTTCCCGCCTCTGTTAAAGGGCTTCTTTCTTTCCCTTATCTAAGTGCTCACAATGGAGAGATAAACAAGCAAAAATCTACTAGCAAGCCAGCTGTCTCTCCCCAGTGAAAAACACAAACTGTGATATGTTCACGAAACGGAATTCTACCCTGGCATGAAAACTCCTACATCCACACTGAACAGAAAAACCTCCCCCCAGCTTCGCAGCTCACTTAGAACCAAACACTAATTCCTCACTGAGACCGCTAGGGACCCCGGGCCCCTCCCGTGCCCAGCGCTGCAACCCCACCACACCTCCACTGCCTTTGTCCAGAACTGACTTCCCATGGGTCGCGGCTGTGCCCTCCTCACTTAGCATCGCAGCGTCAATGTTGTCAACACAAACCAACCCAGATGCTTGCTCCCCTCACCTTGTTCTCTTTTCCTCTAAACATGACTATTGTTTGTGTATGGGCTTGTCTTCTGTCCAGTCTAATTTGTCTGGTTCACTATTTTCCAACACCAAGCAAGTGCCTGGCAAATATCAGGAGCTCAGTAAATCTTTCTTAGGTCAAGAACTAAATGTGTGCATGAGAGAGAAAGAGAGAGGTGACAGGGGAGGGGGTGGATAGAGAGAGAGAGAGATGGGGCGGGAACTAGCTTCTGTAGAAAACCACCCCACTCCTGGCGTCCTGCGTGCAGTGCGTGATTTAACCACCACAGCAAGCCTGTGAAGGAGGCTCTGTTGGCTCTGCTTTACCACTGAAGACCCTGAGAGGAGAGTAAGGGACCTGACCTGTTCACACCGTCCACATTCGAACCCAGGGCCATCTGGTCACTAAGTCCTGTCCTTCCCACAGCACAACTGCCCCTTGTGCTGTGGACCATTCCTTGGACTGTACAGTCTATGGGGTCGCAAAGAGTCAGACGCGACTGAGTGACTTGCACAATTGCCCCTTGCCATGCAATAAAACCACAGCCTGACTTCATCCTGGGTGACAGGGAGGAGAACTTCTAGAACTCCTCTCTGTTGGAAACTCTGACCTAACCACTCACCTCCCCTTCCCCTGAAATTTTCCCACCCTTGCGTGTCCCTGAATACG